CATACCTGAGAAGTGTGGTAATGAAGCAGCAGTCTATTTTCAGCTTGCATCCATATACTAAGCCAATCTATTCATAAGAGGCACTAGGCCTTTCTCTTTCTCAGTTAGCTGGTAATAAAAGATCTTCAGCAAGGCTGTATGAATGAGCTGAGGAATTAATGTCAGTGCAAGAATGATGCTTGACATATACTTCTGGGCTTATTTGTGCCTTCTGGCTCTATACAACCCTTATCTAAGATGCACTTCTTCTGGACATTGGCCTAGGCCAAGAATTTATGACGAAGTCCTCAAAAGCAAACCCAACAAAGACTAACATAGACAAATGAGACTTAACTAACTAAAAAGTATCTGCACAGCAAAAGTAACAACAGAGTAGCCGGGCTCAGTGGCTCAGCCTGTAATCCCAGTGCTTTGGGAGGCTGAGGTGAGTGGATTGTCTGAGCCCGCGGGTTCGAGACCCGCCTGGGCAACTTGGCGAGACCTCATCTCTACAATAAATCAAAAAATCAGCCGGGCGTGGTAGCTTGTGCCTGTAATTCCGGCTACTTGGAAGGCTGAGGCGGAAGGATCACCGGAGCCCAGCAGGTCGAGGCTGCGGTGGCCGGAAGCGGCCACTGCACTCCAGTCTGGGCGATGGAGTGAGACTCCAACTCAAAAAAAAAAAAAAAAGAAAGAGAAAGAAGATTCACCTCTCCAAGGCAGGAGAGGGGAGCAAAGCTTAGAAAACATGGTAATGGCCTGGGACTTTTCATTTACTACTCCTCTGAGCCCACTTTGGGAAGGAACACAAAATGTATCAGACATATCCCTTCCTCAAAAGGAGAGATGACAGGTGGAGTGATCAGGGCTGTTATGCTAGGGAGTCCAGGTCTAGCCAAGTTCAGGCATATCCTACTGCATTTCCTAGCCAAACACACCACCTGAACCCATTGCATGGCCAAGTGAGATCTGCCCATATCCCATTAACGGCCTTGACACACACACCCAGCCCCTTTCTCCAAGCCCAGGATCAGTAGCCCAGGCTTCCTTCCGGGCATACTGGCTTGGAAGAGATGGCACAGTGCCTAGGAGGGTGCCCTGGGGGTGAGTCACTTGGGACATGGTGCCAGGAGCAGGAAAGGTGTGGGGGCCAGAAAGACCCCCGAGTATCCGGGGAGGGATATGGGCCACTTTGTGCAGGCGGTGTCATTAGCCCAGCCCTGGCCTTCCAAGTTGGAGAGACGCGCGGACCAGACACCCGCGTCAGGAGGTGTGGGACAATGCCCCAAAGGCGGAAGGGGCGCGCGGAGACCTCCAGGAACCACCGGAAGGGGCGCGCGAGGCAGTTGGCCGCGGCCTGGGTGGCGGCCGTTGGCAAACTGCGGCCTGCCCGGCGAGGTCAGGCGTCCAGCCAGGCCGCGGCCACAATGACCAAGGACTCGCCCAGCCCCTTGGGCGGTGGCCGCGCGCCGCCCAAGAAGCCGGGTAGCCCCAGCCCGGCGGCGGCAGTGCTGGAAGACCAGAGGCGGGAGCTGGAGAAGCTGCGGGCCGAGTTGGAGGCGGAGCGGGCGCGCGGGCGGGCCGAACGGCGGCGCTCCGCGGCCCAGGCGCGCCAGCTGCGGGAGGCGGCCGAGAGGGAGCGGCAGCAGCTGGCTGACCATCTGCGCTCCAAGTGGGAGGCACAGCGTGTCCGGGAGCTGCGGCAGCTGCAGGAGGAGATGCAGCGGGAGCGCGAGGCCGAGATCCGGCAGCTGCTGCGCTGGAAGGAGGCCGAGCTGCGGCAGCTGCAGCAGCTGCTATACCGGGAACGCGACAGCGTGATACGCCAGGCCCGGGAGCTGCAGCGCCAGCTGGCCGAGGAGCTGGTGAGCCGCGGCTACTGCGGCCGCGCGGGGGCGCCAGAGGTCTCTGCGGCGCAGTGCCGCTGTCGTCTGCAGGAAGTGCTGGCGCAGCTGCGCTGGGAGACCGACGGGGAGCAGGCAGCGCGCATCCGTCATCTACAGGCCGCGCTGGAGATGGAGCGCCAGCTCTTCCTCAAGTACATCTTGGCGCACTTCCGCTGGCACCCCTGTTTGCTCGGAACCCCAGACCCCCAGGCTGGGCAGCCTTCGGAAGAGCCCCTTCCCAAGACCACCAGCGGCGTTTGGAACACCCCAAAGCCCGCCTGTCGACTCGGATCTCTAGACGTCCAAAGTGCCGGCGTCCACATCCGCTCCCATTCCCTCGACCTGGTGTGCCCGGCGGCCTCCAGTTCCCCCGGCGGCCTGCTCTCCACGCGTGTCCGCTCCCTCGATTCCTTGACACCAGCCAGTTCCCGCTCGCTCAACAGCATCCCGCGTCACCCCAAGGCGCCTGAGTCCGAGGAGCCGGCCTCCTCACCAGACGCCTCCACCCAATCTTCCTGGAGCCCGCTACCCTCGCCAATTTCCCCGCCGCCACCAGCACACGGGAAACCCAGCAACCTGCAGGAAGGAGAAGGCTCCGGGAGCCAGCCCTGCGAAACCCTGACCCCCTTGCCCCCGGATTTGGATTACCACGAGCTGATGAAGCAGAACTCGGAGCTGGCCGAGGCTCTGCCGGTGGTGGCGCGCCGCTGCTCTGACCTGCGCGAGGAGAATATGCAGCTGTGGCATGCCGGCTGCCCCACCCAGGCAGACGAGAAGGTGAAGCGGCTCAGAGTGAAGCACGCGGTGCTGGCGGGGCTCGCGCGGCGCCTGGAGGACCGGGCCCGGAAACTTCAGGAGACTAACATGCAGGCGGTGAGCGTGCCTGTCCCGCGAGAGAGTCGAGCTAACCTGGAGTTGTGCCAGGCCTTTGCCCGCCTGCGCGCCCAGGATCTGTCGGAACAGGCGAGCGCGCTGCTGGCCAAGGACAAACAGATCGAAGAGCTGCGGCAGGAGTGCCACCTGCTGCAGGTATGTGTCGCCTCGGGCCTCGGCAGCGACCCATATCCTGGGGGGGTCGCCCCCGGCGCCCAGTGGTTCAACGTTACCGACTTGGATCGGCTGCAGCGGGAGTCCCAGTGGGAAGTGCTGCGCCTGCAGAGGCAGTTAACCCTGCAGCAGGGCAACAGTAGCGCCCGGGCCGAGGCGGGCCGCCTGAGCGCACCCTGCGAGGCGGCGCGGCGCCAGGTGCAGGCTCTAGAGAGCGAGCTGGGCGTGCGACAGCGCGCGTGCGAAGAGCTGGAAGCTCAGGCGGCGGCGGCGCGGCGGCGCGGTGAGGAGGCGGAGGCGCAGCTGCAGGCGGCGCTGCTCAAGGGCGCTTGGCTGGCGGAGGAGAACAAGCAGCTACAGGCCCGGGCCCACTGGGTACAGAAGGTGGAAGCTGAGAACGGCAACGTGCAAGGGCAGCTGGACCACGCGTGTCAGGAGCGCGACACCGCCAGCATGCAGGCTGAGCAGCTGCTGCAACAGCCGCACGGGCAGGACAGGCAGCCGCAGCTGCAACACATCTTGCAGAAGGCCCTATGTGACCTCCAGGCTGCCCGGAAGGAGATACAGCCTCTACAGTGTCAGCCTGGCCACCTTCCAAAACAGTCCTGGAAGGCCAGTCAAGGTCTGGAGTCCCAAGCCAGCTGTAGCAGAGGGCCCAAACTCCAGCCAGAACCTGAAGACCAAGCACTATCACAGCCCAGCAAAGACAAACAAGAGAAAGAAGAAGCATCCCTGGAAGTAAGCCCAGTTGCCCTTGAGGAGTCAGCCATTGTCCCCCAAGTGCCAGACAGAGTTTCTGCCAACCCACCTCTGTCCAAGAAAATCAGCTCCCAGTCAAACTCCTCCTCTGAAGTGGAGTCCATGTGGGCCACCGTGCCATTATGCCCTCCTCTGGACATGGACACAGCCAGCGAGGTGGATGATCTGGAATCTGACAGTGTGTCCCTGGTCCTGGAAGTGGAAGACTCTGAGGCTCCTGCTGCCCCCAAGCTCAAGATCTTCCTGGCTCAGTATAACTACAACCCATTTGAGGGGCCCAATGAACACCCTGAGGGTGAGCTGCCCCTCACAGCTGGGGACTATGTATATGTCTTTGGGGACATGGACGAGGATGGCTTTTATGAGGGGGAGCTTGAGAATGGCCAGCGAGGGCTGGTGCCCTCTAACTTGGTGGAGCAGATTCCAGATGGTGACATTCTGAGCTGCCTACCTTCCAATTCCCTTGACCTTGACCCTACTCGACTCCCAGCTGGGCAGGACAAAGCTTTGAAGGGGGGCAGCTTATTGCCTGGGGAAGCCCAGGGAGTGGTTGGCAGAGAGTCATGCCAGATGGGAAAGGCAAGCTCCAAAACAGAAGTAGCAATAGAGATCTTGGATGCTGAGACTGCAGGCTGCCAACTGGGCTTGCCACAGAGTGCAGGGGAACAGGACTTCTCCAGCCCCCTTCTGGAGGATAAAAGAGTGCTTTGTGTGCTCCCCATGCAACTACACCTGCAGAGTATCACAGCCACATCGGCCGAGATCACCTGGGTCTATGGCAGCAACAGCCATCCCCATGTGGTGTACCTTGATGACCAAGAGCACGGCCTGGCCCCGGAGGGCGTGAGCTGCTACACCTTCCTCAGCCTACTCCCCGGCAAACGCTACCAGGCACGGGTAGGAGTGCGGCTGCCATGGGACTTGCTGCAGGTGCACTGGGAAACCATGTCCTCCACCATCACCTTTGACACGCCCTTCGTGGGACCTCCTGACCCTCCTCTGGACGTGCTGGTGGAGAGACATACCTCGCCAGGCCACCTGGTGGTCAGCTGGCTCCCTGTGACCATCGACTCAGCTGGGTCCTCCAATGGAGTCCGGGTCACTGGCTATGCTGTGTATGCTGATGGGTTCAAAGTTTCAGAGGTTACTGATGCCACTGCTGGGAGCACTCTGTTGAAATGTTCCCAGCTGCAGGTACCCCTAATGTGCCAGAGGGTCTCGGTGAGAACCATGTCACTCAGTGGTGAGTCCCTTGATTCAGTGCCAGCTCAGATCCCTGACGATGGCTTCAGCTGTCACCGATTGTTGGAGACTCCTCCCTTTAGCTACACTTGTGGTGACCCATCCACCTGCAGAGTCACCTTCCCCACCTCCCCTCAGAAGCTGGCATTGGCTCCTCTGAGTGCCAAGGCCAGCCTCCACACCCTTGGGAGCTGTGGGGAGCCTCAGGCCAAGTTCCTAGAAGTGTTCCCTAAAGAACCTTCAAGGTGGCAGTCTCCAGTGTCTAACCTGGGCTCAGAAGAAGAATGTCCAAGATCAGGGGCTGGCAGCCAAGCCCAGGGGCTCACAGAGTCCCAGAAGGGTTGTAGACTCTTTCAGAAGCGTCCCCAGAATGATAGGCCACCTTCATTCAGGGAGAAAGAAAACTGCTACTGGCACGTGGGTACCAGCAAAAGCCCTGCTCCAGGATTCATCTATCTGTCCCCTGAGTGTGGGCCTAGGAAGGAACCATATCAGGAAAAGGTTGCCTTTGGGCAAAATCAAGATGCTCTAGTACCCACCTCTCCCTACCTGGGCACTAGCCAACGATATGTGCCTGACTTTCCTGACACTTTGAAGGAGAAGGAGGCAGTGTGCTTGGATCTGTGGAGCACAGAGAGGCAAGAGCAGAGAATGGAGCTCGGGCCCCAGGGCAGGCGAAGACAGGTTCTGGGGGGTAGGAGAGAGAGCCATCTCCATAAGACCAGCTCAGCACCATATCCAGCTCCGTCCAGCAAAGTCATTGAGATGTCCAGGAGTGGCCCCCCAAAGCTGGGGACAGGGACCAACACTCCAGTGAGGGTCTTTTTTGACCTCTTTGATTGTAACCCCATGGCAATGTCTGAAAACCCCAAGGCTGGAGAGAAGCTGGCCTTTGAAAAAGGACAGTTGCTGAGAGTATGGGGCCCTAGGGACCCTCATGGCCTCTACCATGGTGAGTGCAACAGGCAAGTGGGCAATATCACTGGGCATCTGGCGGCTGAGGTAGAGGCAGGCACAGAACAGACTGATGGGAGGTGGCGTCTGCCGGCCCAAGAATGCCCACTCTCTGGGGCCCACCTTGAGGACTTTGAAGGGCTCACTGGCCCCCAGGGCCTCTCCCCCATGCTCCAAGAGAATTCCAGGAGATCCACACTGTGGACTCCAAAGACCATGATGGCAGCTCTGGACTATAATCCCAAGGACTGGAGAGCAGGGAGCACTGCAAAGGGCAAGCTGGCACTTAGGACAGGAGATGTGGTCACAGTCTATGGGCCTGTGGATGACAAGGGATTCTATTATAGAAAGTCAGGAGGCCACAGGGACCTGGTCCCAGCCCACCTGCTGGATCACATGCCCTTCCATGGAGAGTGAGCAAAGCTCCCTGCCAGGGTAGTAGCCTCTGGCTGCCCACACCCTGCAAAGCTGGCACATGGATCCTCACACCAACAAACACTTCCTCTAGCCACCATAAGAACATTTGCTCCATGTGCCACTGTGTTAAACTGATGGCAGTTCCCAAGCATCCCCCGGTCTCTGAAAGCAGCAGGACTTAAGTCTAAGTTGAGTTGTTTCCAAAAGAAAGCAAAACAAGCCAACCCCTGAGAATCTGACAGGCTGTTTCAAAGCTGTCGATAACTATGACAGGTATTTGGAGAAGTGCCTTTTTCTGAGGTCAATGTGTGTTTTATTTAGGAGGTTAACATTATTCATCCATTGCCTTGTAAAAGTCTCAAGAAAAGTCTGCCTCTTAAAAAAAAGGCAATCAGAATGTTATTTTTCTATCTTATGTTCAACCTGTCATTAAAATGTTCACAGACAAAAAAAAGAATATTTTAGGAGTTGAAGTTAAAGTACAACCAAGGGAAGCACAAGCATGCCCCTTCCTCCCTCTCTCTTCTGTAAGGGCTTCAGAAATGTTTTCCTGGCCAGGGAAGGGAGGGTGCACCCTTATTCTTTAGGGTGGGCTCAGCTCAAGGTCTGCTAGTCTAGCTGCAGAGGGTCCTGCCAAGATCCAGGACTGAGAAGCTAGGCTCCAAAGGCTTGACCAGTCAGACCTTCCCAGAGACTGTGACTGCAGAGAGGCTATGTTGCTGGTGAGCCCTTTGTGAAGGATGAGTAGAGTCAGTGTCTCCCAGCTGGAGGTCCCACTGCAGATGACTTTAGTAACTGCCCCCTTTCTTGAGGCATTTCCTGAGGAATCCCCCGGGGACAGCATCTCCTTATTGTCCCCATTTTACAGAAGAGCTGCTTGATGCTCAGAGGGGTGCCCTCATTTAAGGTCACATCACATCATGGCTTAGAGTCGCCTCCTACATGGTCTTCCCAGGCTCCCCTTCCAGGAAAGTGGGGGTGAAGTATGGTCCTTAGCCTTCTCTGCTTCTATTTGATGCCCCTTTATTTCCCTGTGTCCAACATAGTTGGTCTTCCTGGGTGTAACCAGAAATGACCAGAAGCACCCCAGGCAGAAGGATGGGAGTCACCAGCTGGTTCCATAGCAAGTGGGTATATGGGGAAAGAAGGTCCCTATACTGTCCCTGGGGCTAAAGGCTGGGACCGGGAAGAGGAAGGCCTGAGGGCTGTCTCAACTTTACACACTTACTGCTGCCTTATCCTCAACACAAGAGCTACCAGGGCACTGGTGATGTGCACTTGCATACATTACTACTTGAGAGCCTAAGGCTGAGAACTGGGAGTAGTGGCTCACACTGTAATCGCAGCACTTTGAGAGGTCAAGGTGAGAGGATTGCCTGAGCCCACAGGTTCGAGACCAGTCTGGGTAACTTGGCAAGACCTGGTCTCTATAATAAATCAAAAAATTAGCAGGGGCCAGGCGTGGTGGCTTAAGCCTATAATCCTAGTACTTTGGGAGGCCGAAGTGAGAGAATTGCCTGAGCCCAGTGGTTGGTTGGAGACCAACCTGGGCAACTTGGGAGACCTTATCTCTACAATAAATAAAAAAAAAAAAATTAGCTGGGTGTGGTGGCCTGTAGTTCCAACTTCTTGGAAGCCTGAAGTGGAAGAATCACCTAAGCCCAGCAGGTCGAGGCTGTGGTGACCATGAGCATGTCACTGTACTCCAGCCTGGCTGACAGAGTAAGAATCCAGCTCAAAAAAAAATATTTTTCCGCACCTTTGGGAGGCTGAGGTGAGTGGATTGCCTGAACCCGCGGGTTCGAGACCCACCTGGGCAGGCAAGACCTCATTTCTATGATAAATCAAAAAATCAGCCGGGAGTGGTAGCACATGTCTGTAATTCCGGCTACTCAGAAGGCTGAGGCGGAAGGATCACCGGAACCCAGTAGGTCGAGGCTGCGGTGGCCGGGAGCGGCCACTGTACTCCAGTCTGGACGACAGAGTGAGACTCCAACTCAAAAAAAAAAAAAATTATATATATGTATATATATACATATACATATGTATATGTATATATATATATATATTTTTTTTTTTTGGTAGAGACAGGAGAGGGGTGGTCTCGTTGTGTTCCCTGGGCTGGTCTTGAACTCTGAGCTTACTGTCTCAGCCTACCTACTGTGCCCAGCTCATTCTATTTTCTACTTCTATTAATCTTCCTATTCTAGGTACCTCATGTGAATGGAATAATACAATATTTGTCTTTTTTCCTTCTCCGTGGTTACCAGTTTATTTTTTAAAATAACACAGCAGTTATCACAGCTTCTTCTTTGTCCATCATTTTCCTTAAAAGAAGCTGTTGGCCTGGTGTAGTGGCTAACATCTGTAATCCTAGCCCTTTGGGAGACTGAGGTGGGAGAATCCTTTGAGGCCAGGAGTGTGACCAACCTGAAAAATATAGTAAGACCCTCATCTCTACAAAAAATTAAAAAGTTGGGCTCAGTGGCTCAGCCTATAATCCCGCGCTTTGGCAGGCCAAGGTGAGTGAATTGCCTGAGCTCAAGGGTTTGAGACCCGTCTGGGCAACTTGGTGAGACCTCATCTCTATAATAAATCAAAAAATTAGCTGGGCGTGGTAGCGTGCACCTGTAGTTCCAGCTACTTGGAAGGCTAAGGCGGAAGAATCGCCAAGTAGCTGGAACTACAGGCTCATGTTAACACACCCAGCTAATTTTTGATTTATTGTAGAGACAAGGTCTCGCCAAGTTGCCTGGGCTTGTCTTGAACCCATGGACTCAGGCAATCCACTCACCTCAGCCTCCCACAGTGCTAGGGTCTTTGATTTATTGTAGAGATGAGGTCTCGCTGCCCAGGTGGGTCTCGAACCCGCGGGCTCAGGCAATCCACTCACCTCAGCCTCCCAAAGGCGCAGGATTACAGGCTGAGCCACCGAGCCTGGCTAGGGATTCTGTCTTTTAAAGAAAAAAAAAAAGAGAGAACAACCTGGGTAGCATGATCCTTGGTGGGTTGAATCTGTGGTTCATATGAAATGAGGGTTCTTACCCTTAATTCTGAAAGTGCATGAATTAAAGTTTTCTGTTCTCAAATCGAGTGCGGTGGCTCACGTCTGTAATCCCAGTACTTTGGGAGTCCAAAGGCAAGCGGATTGCCTGAGCCCGCGGGTTCGAGACCAGCCTAGGCAACTTGGTGAGATCTCGTCTCTACAATAAATCCAAAAGTTAGCTGGGCGTGGTAGTGCACATCTGTAGTTTCAGCTACTTGGAAGGTTGAAGCAGAAGGATCACCTGAGCCCAGCAGGTCGAGGCTGTGATGGCTGTGAGTGTGCCACTGCACTCCAGCCTGGGCAACAGAGTGAGACTCCTACTCAATAAATAAATAAATAATACATACATACATACATACATACATACATACATACATACATACATAAAAGACAGAGTCTTACTCTGTCAGGTTGGAGTGCAGTGATGCAATATAACTCTCTGCAGTCTTGAAGTACTGGGTTCAAGCAATCCTCCTGCCCAGCCTCCTGAATAGCTGGGACCACAGGCACAAGTCACTGCACCCAGCTCCATTACTTTTTATTTAATTTCACAGCTTTCCTTGATCATTGGCCCAAATCGCTCTTTTTTTTTTTCCTGACAACTGTGGAGTAGTCTGTGTCAGAGCTATGAGGAGACACTTCCACTCCCCAATCCAGCTCCCACCTGTTTTATTTTCTTCCACAGCCCCCTGGCATGTTAACTAGGTTTTTCTATTGTCTGTGTTCTATCGTCTGGCCAACCCCCCCACACACCAGAATGCAAGCTCCACAAAGGAAGGGCTCTCTTTGGCCATTAAGTGCCCAACACATAGTAAGTCCTCAATAAACATGTGCTGAATGAAGGAACAAATTTGTTTCCCCACCATTTCTCTGTGACCCTTGTGCTGGGGCTCAGACACTGAACTATACCCTAAGTGTTCATGCCACACCCAGGGCTCCCTACCCACTTCAATAGAGTACCACGGACAGCAGAGGAAGGATTTCCAAACACTTACAATAGGGACTAGTGGACAGTACCCATGAGGAGGAGGGCACTCTCAAGCAAAATGATGATGTGGCCTGCTGGCTGGGCCAAGGAAAGGGAGAGCACGCCAGGAGGCAAGGACAGCAAAAGCAAAGGCTCCAAGGCATGAGAAAAATGATGGAGCCTGACTCGGTGGCTCAGCCTGAAATCCCACGCCTTTAGGAGGCTGAGGTGAGTGGATTGCCTGACCCCGCAGGTTCGAGACCCGCCTGGGCAACTTGGCGAGACCTCATCACTACAATAAATCAAAAATTAGCCACGCGTGGTAGCGTGCGCCTGTAGTTCCAGCTACTTGGAAGGCTGAGGCGGAAGAATCGCCACTGCACTCCAGTCTGGGTGACAGAGTGAGACTCCAACTCAAAAAAAAAAAAAAAAAGAAAGAAAGAAAGAAAAATGACCGAAGCCGGGCTCAGTGGCTCAGCCTGTAATCCCAGCGCTTTGGGAGGCTGAGGTGAGTAGATTGCCTGAGCCCGTGGATTCGAGACGCCTGGGCAAGTTGGCGAGACCTCATCTCTACAATAAATAAAAAAAAAAAACAGCCGGCTACTCAGAAGGCTGAGGCGGAAGGATCGCCGGAGCCCAGCAGGTCAAGGCTGCGGTGACCGGGAGCGGCCACTGCACTCCAGTCCGGGCGACGGAGTGAGACTCCAACTTAAAAAAAAAAGAAAGAAAGAAAAATGATCGAATGTGTGTCCTGGGAAACTCTGGATGCAGTGGCAGAGAATGGGGAGGAAGGGATTGGGGACAGATGCCTACCCACCCAAGGATGTGGACCTCCTTTTCTGGGAAGTCTCCAGGTCCCGGGAGCTTCTTATGTGACCACTAGGGGGCAGCTTGGGTGTACACAAAGGTTCCCCCCCCACACACCCCCCCCAGGACTGGCGTGGTGGAGCTGCCTGGGGCACACCTGTCTGCTAAGGCCTAGTGTCG